TTGCTGTGTGAGGTCTAAGGTTGGACTGGCTGATCTTGGAGGTCTCTTCCAGCCTGTGAGGTCTCTTCCATTCTGTGATGTAACTTGTGACTCCTGCTCTGAGCAGTGCTGAGGATGTTCACCAAGACGTGTGTTCCTGAGCTGCTCTGCAGCACTGGCCATAAGGGCTCATGTTTTAACATCCTTTGAGCAGCACTAACAGGAACTGCCAATCTCCCCAAAATAAATCTTAAGCCACTGGAGGTTTTAATAATCTTAAATATTTGATATTTATTAATATAAAAATGTGCTGTGATGATGAAGCATCTCCCTAGTGGGACATACCTCTTCCAGCTGTGAGAGGATTAAAACGATGTTAAATGCCAATTGCTGTAGCATGTAGTCGGTTTTCATGTTGGTTTTAATGTTACCTTTCAGTAATAACTACAATCCCCATGAAATATTCTGTATAGAAACACTTGCTGGACTAAAAACCGTTCTGTAATACAGCATGTAACTATCAGATCTGGCAGCTGTAACACAGCCTGTGTCTGTTCCCAGCCACTCTCCAGCTGTGTTCAGACAGTGCAAAACCCAGCATAGTGGCTGGCACAAAGCAACACCAAAAAAAAAATTGAACTATGCTTTATATGTATAAGATTTCTAAAATATTTATTAAACTGTTTAATTTTGTCCCTTGCCTCTTCTGAAACACAGACGTATGTATGCATAGGTAATATTTTAATCTCATTAGTGTTTTTAGTCCAAGAAAAGGGACAGCACTTTACTAACTTCTTTTCATTTGTCTTTTGAAATTGGGTATCAAGAACTGGTTTCTTCAGTGAACCTGGATTCATTCCACTTCACTAATTCAGATGTCTAATTGCAACAACTATTTATCTGAGGTCCCTCTTATAGTGAATGGAGGATGTGCACTGACATGTTTCATCTACATGTTAACAGTGCTCTCTGGTTTGGATCTCTCAAAGGTCAGACCTAGAAATCAAGCATGTGTCTGGGACTCTTATCAGGATGCTGTGATCTGTCAGACCTAAAGTATAGTTCATCAGATCAGAGACAGTCGTACATTCTAGCATCTGGATTCCCTTTACTCCTTGAGAGAAACAGTGCATGATACATCAAATCTAAAGCCCATATCTAAAAGAAGGGAGATAAACTGTGCTCTGAAACTGGGTGTTTCTCTCACTGTGGAAAAAGGTTGATTGACACAAATATAGATATTTACAACATAGGAATAAAAAAAAAAAAAAAAAAAAGCTAAAACCCAAACCTTTCCAAATGGAAGAAGCTGCTTTAAGAAGAGTTAATAAAAAAAGCTGCAATCCTAAGGGTGAAATGCTTTCAGATGCTATGGAGACTGTTTAAGGAGGAACACTTTGTATTGGAGGATCAGTGTAAATGTGTGTGAAATTCTGGAGAGACTCAAGATGACTTCACAGTTGATGTAATTCAGGCATGAGGTGAGAGAGCAGGGACACACCCTCCACAGGCTGACATTTGATTAGATGAGAAAAATGGAAAGAACAAACTTGTAAGTTTAAAAAAACAACAATGAGGATGACCAAAATTACTTGAGGGACATTTGGTTGAAGGTCTGAAATGTTTAAAGAAGTGTTTTTCCCCCTCCCAAAACTTCAGGGATGAGAAGCAGGCTGGAGAGTTTGTAGAACCAAGAGAGCCCCATCCCTGGAAGCCTCCAAGGGCAGGTTGGATGGGGCTCTGAGCAACCTGGTGTAGGGGGAGGTGTCCCTGCCCATGCAGAGGGGTGGGACTAGATGGTTTTGAGGTCCCTTCCAACCCAAACCAGTCTGGAATGCCATGATTCTGATTCAGGAGAACTTTTTAGGAAGGGCTCTGAAAAGGTAGGGGAGTTTAGGGGCTCCCAGCTGGCAGTAGTTGCTGTTGAAGGAGTATCTGGCTCAAGTCCGAGAGTGAATACAACAACAATGTAATTTGTCAGTAAGACACATGGAGATCTTTTGTTTTAGGTGATTATCTGGGTCCTGCTGAAGAGTTAATAAAGAAAGAATGTTATTTATCCATAAAACACAGGAACAAATCATTAGGGCTTGTCTGGTCCTTCACTCAGGAGTTTTGAAGAATGAAATAGCTGAGCCATTAACTGTGGGGTGTGACGTTTAAAGTGTTGATTACAGAGAGGAGAGGTTGGTCGGTTTGTTTGTTTGTTTTAAGGGGTCCAAAGGAATGAGATCTCACAGTGCTTTCTCTTGAAGTCTCTTGTATCCTTGAGATCTCTACACAAGAGCAGAACCTTCCTTGTTGCTTTTCTTCCAGTGAACACTGGGTTCAGCTGCAGGACTCAAGGGGAGGTGGCAGGCAGCAACCCTCACAGCACGTTCTGTTCGGGTGCTCAGGCTTGTTCTGTAGATCAAGAACCAGTCTTTCCTGGATGATTTGTTCTCCTTGGTGACTAGGAGGAAAGCTGGGCTCAGCAGGTATGATCAGAGCAGGACTTGGTGGGTGTGTGTGCCTCAGGAAGTTCTACCTTTTCTCAGCTTGGCCCATCCCCTGCTCCATGCACTGCTAGCCAAGGGTTTGCTGCCCGTCAGCAGAACTGTCCTGAGTCAGGGCATTGTTGAGTAGTTCAGGTGGGAAAGGGTCTCTGTAGGTCATCCAGTTCAGCTCCTCATTCAAAGCAGGGCCAACCTCAAAGGTACATCTGTTTCCTCAGGACAATGTGCAATCAAGTTTTTGTCTTATCTCTAACTGGAGCAACAGTGACTTTCTAGGCCCTTCTTCCAGTGTTCGATCACATTCATGATTAAAATAATTTTATTAATGTCTGTGGAGTTTTCTTTGTTACAGCTTTGATCCTCCTTTCTTCTTCTGTTCTTAAACCCATTTCCCTCAGCCTCTCCTTATCCATCCTGTGGCTTGAGCCCCCTCATGGTCTTGGTGGCCTCTGCTGCCCTCCCTCCAGTGTGTTCCTCTTCCTCGTGTTGCGGAGCCCCAAACTGAACGTGGTCCTTGCAGGTTCTGCACAGAGGGGAGCAGATCCTTGGCCTGCTGGCTGCATTAGGGCTGCTGCTGCCCAGGGTGGGGTTAGTGGGAGTGGTTCTCTCTGTTGTGCTGCTGCATCCTGCTGGTCTGTGCACCTTCCTCCTTTCTTTCACCCTTCTTTGCTTTCCTGAGCCTCCTTTTCAGGTCACAGATACTTGTTCAGAGCCTTACTTACCTCATCTTGGTGTTCCTGGAAGTATTTTTCTTATCCTAGGTCTCTTAGAACTTCAACTAGTTACTAGTCCATGAGGTGACTTTGTTTTGGTACCAAGATAATTTTTTTAGGGTCTTCAGGTGAAGGACCTTCCCCCTTCTGGGACACAAAGGTTTTGATTATTTGCCTATGGGCCTCCAAAATGTTCCTGTGGCCTTTTCATGGCAGTGGTTGGTGCTGGGGGGTCCTCGGGTCAGGGTGTTCTGAAGATCATGTTTTCTATTATAATAGGGAAGTGGGGCCCAGCAGTTGATCTCTGGTCTGAGAAAGCTGAACCCTTTCAGGAGCCCAGAGCAGTGCTCTGCCACCACTGTCCTGGCTGGGAACCACGGTGCTGTCCTCCTCAGGTGTGCTCCAGGGGAGCTCCCAGGCCAGAGGAAAACCTGGCCTCAGTGGAACAAGGGTGCTGGCAGTTGTGGCATCCCTGCTCAGGTGAAACTATTTTTGTTTTTGCTGTTTATTTCTTAGTGATGAGTAGACAGCCTGGAGAGGAGGTTCTTCCATCCTTAGAACCCTCTGCAAGTTTAAGTTTTGGGATGAATGCCTGGAATTCTTGCCTTGTCTCTGCCCTGTTCATGTAGCTTTCGAAGCAACACTTGTTACCACTGAGCTTTCTCCTTCAGGACACACTGTCTCTTGCTTTTGTTTTGTTGATGTCTCTTGTTAGGCTGTACCTTGGCAGCCTCTAAGACCTCCTTGGAAGGAGAGCATGCCCAGGCAGGTGCCAGCTGAGCTAGGGTGACAGTTCTCTTTGAGCAGATGAAATGATCCCTGTTTGTGCTGGAGGAGCTGCTTGCCCTGTGGTATAGAATCCCAGACTGGTTTGGGTTGGAAGGGACCTTAAAGATCATCCTGTCCCAACCCCCCTGCATGGGCAGGGACACCTCCCACCAGCCCAGGTTGATCCAAGCCCCATCCAGTGTTAAGATGCATAGATAAACTTCCATATGAGGAACAAAGGAGTAGATTGTGAGTTGTCAGCCTTGAGACCACTGGGGAGTGGGGTATGAATGAGGGCTTTAAAATCCTTGAGAAAGTCCACAGGGAAATGCTCTCCCTCTCTTCCAGTTCCCAACATGGGGCTACCCAGCAAGACCAGCTGGGACAGGAATGGAGCAGTGAGGCTGCAGTTGCCTTTCCACAGAGCTTACATAGGTTCAGAATGTGTCAGGTTCCTGGAGGACAACCTCTTGGGGTGCCAAATACAGCAAGACACCTTTTGTTTAGGAAATTCTGTAAAATGTTGGGCAAGGAAAGGATGTTCTTAGAAAGCCCAACTGTTTGCTCTGTCCTGTGCATCCACTGCTGGTGCCACTTCTGGAGACAATCTGGGCTAGATGGACATTTGCTTTCATATCTAGATCTGTTTTTTAATCTCTTGTTAATCACCTATATAGTTTTTGTGGGTTTTTTTGTTTGCTTGTTTTGGTTTTGCTTTTTTTTTTTTTCTCATAATATGAAGAAAAAACCCACCAGGCTTAATTGCTGATTATTTTCCAGTCCTTTCTCTACCAATGAGGAGCTGAAGAAGAGCTGTAGTTGTGTATCAGGAAGATGTCACTAAAGCAGATGGACATTTTATCTTCAAGAAAATACTAATAAAGGAATGAAAACCTTTAGTGATGTCAACATTCTTACCTTAAATAATTTGTTGGTTGGTTGGGGGGATTTTTGTGTGCTTGGTTTTTTCCTGCATTTCTGCTGGAGGAAACTTGTGGCTTGGCTGTTCTGTGCTTGACTGATATGTTCTTTGGTTTCTTTGAAGGTACATGGGAATAGGACTTTCAGCTCAAGGAGTCAACATGAACAGGCTTCCTGGTAAGTCAATGTCCAGATCTGGTTTGGCTTTCATTTGAAATAAAGAGCTTAATTTGTATCTATGAATTAGTGCATGTGTTTCTGTTAATCAAATGTCATGACTAGAAGGCCCTCTGGGCCTTTCAGGCTATTGAGTGTTATCCTAAACTGAGTTACTGGTGGTGTCCATGTAGCCATGAAGGTTTTGGCAAATACTAGAAATTAAGATTAAAGTAACAAGTAATGGGTGAGATCTTACTGCAAACTTTATTTGCTGCTAATTGTTAGGACAACTGGAGCATATGCACATTGGAGGGAGAATTAAGGTCCCAGGCCTTTATCCACTCAGAACTAGACCAAGGAAGGAGCAAGGCAGGACACTGCCAGTTTTCTCAAGTGATACTTGATTACAGAAAGGAAGAGAATGTCTGGATCAAGATGATATGGTGTCAACAGGTAGAGAAGTCTCAGTTTTCAGACTCCTCCTCTCTCTGCACTCCCTCCCAACCCAAGTGGGTTGGCTGCATGTAGAAGATGAAGCATGAGTTCAGTCCCATCATTTGTTCCCAGGGTTTTGAAGTGCTTGGTTGCTTAGAGGAGGAGTTGTTTGGAAAGATGGGTGGGATTGTCTTGCAGACTGCTGGTTGGATTATGTTTAACATGGGATTCTGCTGGGATTGTAACATGGATACACACGTGTATAAAACATAGTTGAACACTAACCTGAGATGATATGTACTGAATGCCATAGATGTGCTGTCCTGGCATTGAACAGCCAACAGAATTTCTTTAGAAACTAAAAATTAGCCAAACCACTTCTGATAAATGGCTTTAAAACCCAAGAGCTACATGACTGGTATTTTGTGGCCAGTTTGAATCCAAGTGTCTTTGTAGTCGTGCTTCTGGAGTGGATGTGATGAATGTGGAATTCTTTTATCTGGGTGAAATAAAACATGAAGAGAACTTGAGACATCACACAGCTCCTGCTTAGCAATGAATTGCTCAAATTGGATCCCATGAACCTCTTGTTTGTTTGATCATGTGCAGGTTATGGTGCCAAGAGTGGATTCTGCAGGCGTGGTTAGGTTGATCTCCCATCATCTGTGTAAAATGGACTGCATGGCTCTGTGTTCCAGCTCCATCATTATCTTCCTGGCTTTTGGGGAATGAGTCTGATTTATTTATATAGTCTATTGCTCAAGTAACTGAAGTGAGGAACATAGATCAGGCTTAACTGTTATCAGGTCCTTCACAGCACACAGCAAGTGAGAGCTCACAGAGGAGTGACAGACTTTGGAGTCTTGACTTGGCTTCACGTCAAAGTGTAATTTTAACTTTTTGTGACCTGAAACCCTGCCAGGTTTGTCTCCTTAGAGCCTTTCTAAGTCACTTCTGCTTGAGCAGATCAGTTTTCACTTGCTGTGCTGGCAGGGCTGTTGTGACTGCTATGAATGGCATGGGAGCCCAGAGCCTGGTGTGGGAGCCAGTGTTGGTCCCTTTTTTGATCCCACTTTCAGGGGCATCCTTGGCACCCTGTCAGCCCTGTTCAAAGAACAGTCTTGCTACTGGATTCTGTCTTTGGCTCCTTCCCCTCCCAGCACCCCCCTCACACCCACCCCCTGCCCCGAGAACAAACCCTTTGGCCAGATCCAGTTCCAAGTCAGGGCATTTGTGCTTGATGCCAAATTTATTTTGGCTTCAGCCCAGCTGGGTGCTGGGAGGGGAATGCTGAGCTTTCCCTGGAGGCTGGAAGTGAGGTTGGTTCCTTAAACCAACTCCCTCTGTGCTGGGAGCAGAGGCTACTTTTAAAAAGAGGGTTCTCTGGCCCTGTCCCCCTCAAGGTTTCTGTGGTTTCTGCTTTGACATTCAGGTCTGAAGTGATTGTGGGATTTTATTGAAGTGCCAAGTTTTGTGACCCTGACATCTCAATTATAATTATTTAAATTATTGTCTTTCAGTTTTTTAGAAGGCATTGAGAACCCTTCCTGAGAAATGTTCTGCTTTCAGCTTGTGGCTTTTCTGGCCATGTCTCCCTGCTTCTTTCCCCAGATACAGCTTTTTTCACCTGTGCTCTGCATTTTGGTATCTGGGGGTGAAATTACATGTTACAGCTGAACTGACCTAAGCCACTGTCATCAAAGGGGAGAAACCTTCCTCTCCCCCCACAATTCCTCTTCTTCCTCTGTGCAGACCCCTGGCTCTGGCACTTGTCACCTCCTCTGCCACACCAGGCATGAACCTGCCTGCTTTTCTGCTGTGTCAGGGTGGTGGCAGCTGGTTCCTTCAGAGCTCATAGAGCAATTCTCTTGTCTTGCTTAAATTATTATTGTTTAGCCCTGAATCCACTAAGTTTTTCTGATCCCAGCTGAAAATGTATTGGTGATTCACTCCAGGTTTCACCTGACCTTCATGAAACAGAAGGTATTGATGTTCCCATCTTTAATATCAAATCATAGAATGCTTTGGGTTGGAAGGGACCTTTAAAGGTCACCTCGTCCAACCCCCTTGCAGTGACTAGGGGTTTAACTAGATCAGGTTGCTTAAAGCCTCATGATGCCTGACCTTGAATGGCTCAGGGATGGGGCCTCCACCTCCTCTCTGGGCACCCTGGGCCAGTGTTTCACCATCCTCATGGGGTGGTGAAACAATTTCTTCCTAATGTTGAATCTAAATCTCCCCTGCTCTATTTTAAGACCATGTGGATGGGATGTGCATGCTGGAGAGGATTCTCCCCTGCCTGTGGTGTTCTGCATTGGCCCAAGGCCTTCATGCTGTTGAGAGATGGTGTTTCACTTGTTCTTGGAGGGCAACCCAGCAGGAGCACAGAGCCAGGCAGGAGGGGAGGAGGGAGGACTCCCTGCAGTAGCAGCAAGGTCTTTATTCAGCCCAAAATGTTGTGAAACCATAGCCCTGGCCATACCCTGCTCCAGGGTCTGAAACAGCCTAGATACCATCTGACCAATCACTTTTGGAGCCTTTGAACACCCTCTGGTTAATGACTGACTTGCCCTGCTGTGCCACACTGCCCTGTTGGAGGGAGGTGCCAGCTCTCTCACCATTGTTTGGTAGGAAACTGATTATTTTTCACCTTACTTTTCAAACAAACCCACACTGCTTGACTTTTCTTCCCTATCTGCCTGCTTCAGGCTGCGTGGGGAAAGAACAAGCTTTCAAATTCAGGAGTGTTTTCCAGAGTTGCATTTGTGTGCAGCAGCTTCAGCAGCAGGGCTGGGGCCTGGGCTGCATCAAAAGCAGCACAGCCAGCAGGGACAGGGAGGGGATAGTCCCCTCTGCTCTGGTGAGACCCCACCTGAAGAACTGGGTCCAGTTCTGGAGCCCCCAACATAAGAAGGACATGGAGCTCCTGGAGAGAGTCCAGAGGAGGCCACAGAGATTATCATCTAGATCCAACCTCCCTGCATGGGCAGGGACACCTCCCACAAGCCCAGGTTGCTCCAAGCCCCATCCAACCTGCCCTTCAACACTGCCAGGGATGGGGCAGCCACAGCTTCCCTGGGCAACCTGGGCCAGGCTCTCACCACCCTCACAGCAAAGAATTTCTTCCTCATGTCCAACCTCAATCTCCCTCTTCCACTTTTACTCCGTTGCCCCTTGCCATGAAACACTGATTGATGGTTTTGTTCAGCATGAATGAGGTGGCCAAGCACTTTCCCAAACATCCCAGGGTGAAGCACAAAAGCTCAGCTTTCCCTCTGCCTCCTCCATCCAAACCTGCAGGCTGTGTGTGTGCCCCAAAGCTGGTCTAATTAAAAAGAAAAGGAAATCAAAACACCTCCCTAAAAACCTGACCCAATGGCTGAAGTGGGTCTGAGGGCAAAAAGGCAGAAACTTCCTTTCTACAATCCTCATTTTCACATAAATTGCCATAAATAAAACATGGGATTAAGAAGAATCTAAGCTCAGAAGGTTATTCACCCCAATTCTGTGCTTCAGGAGCTGGTTTTGTTATTCTGCAGTTCTGTCCATGTCTGATAGAGTGTGTCAGGTCTGGCCATGTTTAAGGAGTGTCAGGTCAGACCTCACTGGAGATCCTGATCCCACCACTCTGCTGTCCCTCCTCAGCAGGTGTCATGCAGTGCACTCAAGATATCTGCCCAGCTCCTCCATGCTGTGCCAGCTCACCCAGTATCAGCTCCCAGCAGAAGGCCCATGTTTTAAAAAGTGACCCACCTTAGCAACTTGCATCCAGCTACATGCAAGATAACCTGATTAGGGGAGGCACAGCTAAGGAGCAGAGTGCAGCAGTGCAAGGGGCCAGGGCTTTGGCAGGGTAAAAAAGGGAAACTGCATGTGTTGCCAGGTGCACATAGTTATAAAAACTGTGTGAGTCCATCCCCATGATCTTTAAGGTCCCTTGCAACCCAAACCATTCTATGATTCCACAGCCCAGGCATTGCCACTACCAGCCCACAGCTGGTAGAATAGAATCCCAGGCTGGTTTGGGTTGGAAGGGACCTTAAAGGTCATCCAATCCCACCCCCTGCATGGGCAGGGACACCTCCCACCAGCCCAGGTTGCTCCAAGCCCCATCCAACCTGCCCTTCAACACTGCCAGGGAGGGGACAGCCACAACAATGAGTAGCTAATAGCCCTTCTGAGCTCAGCAGCTTCACAAACCTTCAGTCCCTCCATCATTTGGGCTACCAGGTGTTGGGCAAATCACAACAACCAAGCACATGCTCATCAGGGCTCAGTCATGACAATTGTTTTCAGTGCTTTACTGTGGCTGAATTAAATAAAGCTCAGTGATAAAGAAGAAAAATCAATCCAATTAAGTTCAATCTTTGCCTAATTGTTAAAAAGCAGAAGGTGCCCAGCCATCATTTTCAAACAACTTGAGAAAAGGCAGAGACAGATGAACTAGAGAGCTGCAGCCAGCCAAGCTGCTCCTGCATCCCAGTAAGATGCTCCTGCAGAATAAGTCTCCATGATCAGTGGTAACTTCATTGGAGGGAACACTTGGTCTTTAATGAAGCTGTGCAAAACCAATATTTGTTTTT